GTTTTACAAAACCCCTTAACTTTTATTTCATGTATAAATAGCCTCCCCGTCTTTTGGAATATTATGATAAACCTTCCTGGACTACTACATTTATACAAATAACTCTCACGTTGGGGGGGGAAAAAACAAATAACTCTCATATATACTATTAATTTTTTCTCATTATCATTTACAATAGCTTAAATTTTAAGAGGTTTCTTTGTATACAACTCAAAATTTGAGAAGGTTGTATCAGCATCAAAACAAAAAAAAAAGAGTTTGAGTATAAACTTAATTAATAGTTTGGGATTATTATTTGCATAATTTAAAAAGTTAGGGGTTTATCATTGAATTTTAAATGTTAATAAGGTTATTTGTGAATAGTTTTAAGTTCAAGAAAATTTTATATAATTTATCATTTTTCAAATTTACAAAATAACTTAAAAAACAATAAGACAATGTTTCTTTAGCGGAGAGTATACCTCAAAATAGGACTGACCGTTGCCAAAGATGAAGTCTACAGCACCCTGAATATAGCAATTTTTATAGTAGTGACGGCCTTGAACATCCCAAAGCGTATCTTGAAAACCCACGAAGCCACAATCGAAAAATGCAGATTTGTCGCCATATATTCTTGCTGCCAATGCTGGTACTCTCGCTCCTTTTCCCTTTGTGATTTTGTCCAATCCTGATCGGCGGAGATCAAGCGAGTTCTACATACGACAATAATTTTACACGGATTTCAATACGTTTATGGTCCTGATTGATTTCTTTGATCTCCGTTCCTTCCTCTTACATAGGAGGATTAATGTCCAGAACATTTTGATTTTTTCCCAACATATTTATAACAAAAATTGACATTCAATTGCGGAAGGTTTGACCAGATCATTTCGCTCTTACCGTCACATATTGTCGTCAATCAATTAATATCGTGAAAAAAAGGGCAAGAAATCTCTATTTAATTATACGGCTACTGTCAAGGACATGCACCATCTTTTGAATGAAACATTTGAAAAAGAAAAAGAAAAATTAAAAAGAATAAGCAAGAGCAGACAGCCCTGAAAATGTGCAAAATTTTATATATAATAAAAATCATTTTAAAACTGCCTATATTTTTTTTAATTCGGTGCCAATTAGTTTATTTTTTAATTAAATGTTTTGTTCTGTTACTCTGTTAGTACTATTTAACAGTGTTAAAAGAACAAAATTAAAATATTTAATTAAGGGAAAAACATGGATATTAAATCAAAAATTGAGAAAAAAGATAGGTACCTGCAAAATAGTTTTCACAAATCTAAATTATAACAATGGGAATCATAATCCATTTATTTATTTTGGCTCCATATTTTAACATGATATACTGTTTTATGTACCAACCTCGAAGCTGATTCCAGCTGCAACTATATTGTTTGGAAAGGAAGAGAAGGTGGCGCTAGTATCTGTTTGTTGGTGGTCACTGTACGTAATTTTGGTAACCTGTCGGCCTTCACCTTCCAAAATGATGCACGGTTTATCTCTTGGAATCTCCACCTTTTCTCTGCGAAACAAAAATTTCTCTTCTGTCTCTATACACCAGAATGCTAGATAGTTTCTATTTACAGCTGGAGCCAGAATTTGAATACAAGGAGGCTAAGACAGTTCAGATGGCACTACAAACTAGATATTATAATAAGGATCGAAGGTAATGTGTGTGTATATCTATAGGAGGCAGAAATGTATCAAAAGTATTACATCTGGTCCTATTTATAAGATCTTATTTGTAAACTATAAACGATGTCTTATAATTAGGATTGGAGGAAGTATATAACACTAAGAACAAATTGAAAACTTTGGAAGAGTTCTGACTCCCGCCAATGTTCACCTTTCCTCTAACATTGGTTATATGAAAAAGAAATTTATGAAAACCAACTTAAAAGGACGAAACAATGATATAATTTTGTTTGAGCATATAGGTAACAACGTACATGTATTTGCCTGGATGAATGTGAATTTTCACCCACCGAGCATTGTTGCCTTTTATTGAATCAATTGCTGCCTGGACTGATTTGAACTGACCAGATTGGCCAACAGCAATTGTATATGAAATTGCCTTCCCTCCACAATCTTCTGCGACGCCAACCCAGAAACATTGGCAGAAAAGCATGAACATAAAAAGAGGGAAAACTATTTCACCAGGAAGCAGCTTCATCGTCGTCATTGGGATTCTCTGGAAAATGAAGATCACAAATAAGCCGATGACTGTGATTTTATAATATCCACTGACCTAGCCTTCTTATATATGAAATTATTTTTAAAACACGACATTAATGTATCCAAAAGTGCAATTTTCATAATTTAACTTTATACAATATATTAGCCTGGTTTCTTAATTTTATAAAATATTTTAGTCCTCTAACCTTAAACACTGTTGGTTTCAAATGATTATTTTTGGTGTGTCAATAATATTTAAGTATTTGTGAATATATTCATCAAAATGTAAAATTTATGTTAACATTTTTTTGTTAATAAAGGTATAAAACTAAAGGTGTTAGGATTAGGTGACTAAAAAGACAACCTATGAAATTAAAGGATTACAACGGAAATTTATATGAAGTTTAAAATATTATATGTGCATTTTTTTTAACTTTCTAATGTACTAATTATATGTTACATTATGAAATGAATTTAGAAAATTTGAATACCAGTGTTTTGAAATTCAATTGTCAAACTTTCTGTTTTCATCGTTTGCATAATTTATTGTTCGTTTCTGTATTCTTTGCACTGCGCAATGCCGCTGGGATCTTGTTTTGATTTTGCTCCTAATCAGAAAAAATATTATTCAATCAATTCCGATTGTTGGTTTTATGGAGAAAATTGATGTCATCAATTTCAAGAGTATTTAATTATTAATATTTAATTATAAATGAACATTAAACCCATATATTCATTGAATATCTACATATGAAAGCTATTAATTTTTTTTATAGAATTTCTTGTTTATTATTTACTCAATTTAAACAATCCATACAAAATCATATTTTAAAAACAAATTTATGCCTGTTTTATCTCTTTGATTTTTATATGGTATTGTGCGATATTTTTTCGAAGTCTTTTCAATATTAAAAAATATGAAAAAGACCACTCAGCCCTAATTTTTTTTTGGGAAAAAGATAGAAAAATAACAAATAAACTTTATAATACCAAAAAAGTCTGCTGAATTTGAGAAATCACAATTTAGTGTCAAGAGAATAATTTGGCATTTATAAGTTTGCTCAAATAACCATATTACCCTTCATTTTATTTATTGTTTTTAAAATACCAAAGCCTCCATTAGCGGCCGGTTGTAGGAGCTCCGTCAGCAGCAGTCACCGAAGCTCTAGCGACTGGTCGACAGTTGATCACCAAAGCTCCGCTGGTCGGAAATAATTTTTTTAAAAATTTTTACAACTTCAGTATAACAGTTAACAACTTTTGTAACGCTATTAACAACTTCAGTATAGCAGTTAGCAACAGGTTTTCTGGGAAATTCAACAAGCTCCGACGGCCAGAAACAATTCTTTTTGAAAATTTTTACAACTTCAATATAACAATTAACAACTTTTGTAATGCTATTAACAATTTCAGTATAACAATTAACAACAGGTTTTTCGGAAAATTCAATAATTAATCGCCAAAGCTCCAGCGGCTGGAAACAATTTTTTTGAAAATTTGTACAACTTCAATATAATGGTTAACAACTTTTGTAATACTATTAACAATACGATTTTCGGGAAATCCAAAAAGTAGTACTTTTACAACTTCAATAATACCGTTAACAAGTTTTGTAACCCTATTAACAACTTCGGTATAATGTTTAACAACATGTTTTCTTAAAAATTAAAAAAAAAAGGCATTTTTATAACTTTAGCAACTACTCTTTTTCTTTTTTTGAAAATTTTTACAACATCAATATAATGGTTAACAACTTTTGTAATGTTATTAAAAATTTTAGTATAGCAGTTAACAACAAGTTTTCTTAAAAATTCAAAAAGTAATATTTTTACAATTTCAGTAGTGTCGTTAACAAGTTTCATAACTCTATTAACAATTTTGGTATAGTATTTAACCACAAGTTTTCTTAAAAATTAAAAAAATGGCATTTTTATAACTTTAACAACTACTTCTTAAAAAGAACAATTTTACAATTTTAGTATAATGGTTAACAACTTTTATAACACCATTAACAACTTCGATATAGTAGTTAACAACGGGTTTTTCAGAAAATTCAAAAAGTAGTATTTTTACAATTTTAGTAATGCTATTAACAAACTCAAAACCCTGCTGTTAACCCCTATACTAAAGTTGTTAATAGCATTACAAAAGTTGTTAACTGTTATACTGAAATTGTAAAAAATTTTTAAAAAATTGTTTTCCGCGGCCGAAACTCCAACGACCAATTGTTGAATTTTCTAAAAAACCTGTTGTTAACTGCTATACTGAAATTGTTAATAGCTTTACAAAAGTTGTTAACTATTATATTGAAATTGTAAAAAAATTTTAAAAAATTGTTTCTAGCCGCCAAAACTTGCTGAATTTCCCAAAAATTTTATTGTTAACTGCTATACTTAAGGTATTAATAATGATACAAAAGTTGTTAATCATTATACTAAAATTGTAAAAATTTTCAAAAAAATTATTTCTGACCGATGAGTTCCGGTGACCAATTGTTAGCCAGTCACCAGAGTTCCAACGACTGCCGACACTGGAGCTCCAGCGACCAGCTAGCCAGTAAGAGCTTTGACATTTTAAAAACAATAAATAAAATAAAGAGTAATATAATCATTTTAACAAATTTATAAATACCAAATTAGTATCTTAAAACTAAATTAGGATTTCTCAAATTTACCAGATTTTTTTTCACATTATGAAGTTCATTTATATTTTTTTCTGTCTTTTATCCAATTTTTTTTCCTTACCGTTTTCCCCCGCTCAGCCGCAGTACCTTTTACCGCCTGCCTCCTCATCCCTGCTCTCAGCCTCTCTCAGCTAGCCTCCACCGTCATTCCCTGCTGCGACCTTCTTCACCCCCGGCGACACCTCTTTCAGCGACCAGCGATCAGCCCCGATGCCCTCAATCGTGCTCTCTCGTCGTCTTCTCTTTCTCTCTGATTCCCCACTATAACTTGGTGATTCCCGGCGTTGTCCCATTTCTCTCTCTCTCTTTCTCTCTTTGTTGTCTCTGCTCATCTTGCATCGCACTTCACTGTCCTCGTCGTCTGCTACTCTTCAGTCACTCATCGCCGTCTTGTTGGTCACCCCTGTCTCCTCCCCAAATCACCTCTAAGTTCGTTACCCTTTGCGCTGTAAGTTCCTAGTTCCCTGTCCCTATGCTTTTAGCTCTTCTTTTTAATTGCTATTATTCATTATCAGAAGTTGTTTTAGTTTTGGCTGGCTGATAGAGGTTGGAGTAGATATTTTTTGAGTTCCTGCACAATAGTGGTTAAAATTGTTTATGCTCAATGCATTTAGTAGTGTGAATTGAATTGTTTAATAGATTGTCGTTGAGAAATTTCGAACCATATAAGATATAATTGTGTTATAGAAGTTTTTAAACTGAGAAATGTGTTAATTCAAACTGACTGAGGAATTTGTTTGTGAATACCCTGCAATTTGCTGCCAAAAAAGTTCAGTTGAATATTTTAGAACGTTTCTGTTTTTTATTGGGATACATGGATACACATGGTTATGCACTAGTGAATCTGAAATTTTTAAAACCCTTGAATGATGCTGTCAAGAAGTGTTTGTTCGGTTTCTTTGTCAAAGAATGAATAAAAAAACTGTTGTATATGTTTTAATATTATTGCTTGATGTTATTCAAACTTTGAGAAGTGTATTTCTGAATATGGAAATTGCAAAATGTGAGGCATTGCTGTTGTGTCCCCATAGAATTATGGGGAAAAAAATATTTGTACGCCAATGAAGTTATATGATGTAGTATTGTTCAGATATTTGGAAATGAATGAGTCGTGTGCATTAAATTTGACATTTTAAAGCTCAAGACCGATGAGGACTTGCTGTTTGATATTTTTATAAGATTAATCATTGCTGATAAATTATTTTATAAGATTAATACTTGCACATCAAACTAAATAGAGACTGAAATTCCCTGTTCATCACATCCCATCCCCGTCTCTATATAATGAGTAAGAACCTTGTGCACTAAAGTCCAAGTTCGTTTATTTCAGTATATTCTTGTCTATTCGAGATTGAGATACTTGTGTGATTCCTTTATGAACCCAAGTTAAACTTTCACTGGACAAAACTGCAAATTAAATCTTCTATAACCTGTCTTCATAATTTTGTGATTTGGATGTTGTTGCTTAGTTTTTGAACTCAGCGATAGGACTTTGCCATATCACAAAGTGAGAGCCTTTCCTAAGCAAAATCTTCTCAAAGAGACCAACGATTCTATGATGGAAAATGTCATTTTCTCTTTTGTTCTATGATGGCCCTAAGGAGTAAGTTGGCGCTTTGGGTACCATGTAAACATTGTCAGATAGATGGCTAATCGATCATAACGAAACCTATAACCCAGTTTGATCCTTCATATATTAACATGTTTTAACATTGCTTACCCTGGGTAAGTATTGGTTGCTTATTTGTTATTGAGAATCTCTCCGCAGTTGGTTATATGATGTAGCATGAAAGTGAATTAGCATTACATCAGTGTCTAAGATGATTAGTATTTCATTTTCTTTTCAATTGAACCTTGGGGTAAATGCTTGTTGGAAGAGGAAAAAATGTTTATTCTTCTTTTTCATTGCTGGAAAGTGGAAACTAAGATAAACCATCGATTGGTTACTCATTGATTGAGAGGCTTTATCAATTTCTTAGAAAATTCTTAATGCTATTGATTTATCAGTTATGCTGTTCAAAATGTTTCTATCATATTCAATCATAATTAAGTAATTTTTCTGCTCAATTATTAAATCAGCTATATCCTATAAATTACAAATAAATCTTTGGCTTGCTCTCATTTATTTTTCTTTTCTTTTCTTGATGTGAAATCATAGGTTTTGTATTGGCATTCTCCAGTCAAGAGCTTGGCGTTCAAGCACCACTTCTACAATGGTTTCAGTGATCAACAAGGGCATGGCTACAAGAGCAATTAAAGAAGGGACCAACTCCACTAGAAGCTGGAGGCCAAGTGATATTTCCTTTGCTTCCGTTTTCCATATTTATTAAGATTGCTTTTAACGGAACAAATGTACACGAGTTTCCTTTGTATATTTGCTAGTTTTGGGTGCGTACTTTTTTAATTATTTATTTGCTAACTCTTCAATTGAAATTCTGTATTGGTTGCTATATATAATGTAGTAGGGTATATTGTACATATATAGGTCCTCAATTGATGGGTTAACTTTTTTTTTTTAATTTTTAAGAAATATGACTTATGGCTTCAGTTGCACGACACAACAGAAGCCATAAGTCATGACTTACAACGTCTGTTGGGCACTGCATCACCGGACATAAGTCATGACCTAGGTGTCTGTTCTCATGTGACAGACACCATGCGTATGGCCTCAGTTCCATAGGTCCTGCTTTCGCTTCTCTTCTTTCCACTACACCCCTTCTGCAGTGGCGAAAAGTTATTTTTAACAAATGCTGAAAGCAGTATTTTGCGCTAGGAAGGGTCAGTGTTCCTATTTACAGCTCTTGAGCAGTATCGCTGAATTAGTTTGTATTTTTAATTTTAATGCTTCCAAACACATGGTATTCATGTAACACTACACAGATTCACCTTTTAAATTTATTGGAAGCTTCAAAATAAGAAAAATCAAACTCTAGTATAATGAACCAACTCTGGCCAAATAGTGTCACAAGGTTACACAAGTTGAAATTTTTCAAATAACAATTTAATCATCATCAAACAACTATTTTTTATCCTCTAATCCATATATCAACTTTGAATCAATCATTTTTCATCATAAAACCATTTAAACAGCATCCTTCCATAAGAGTTTTAACCTACAAACACTATCAAAGCCATGGTTAAAACCATCAATAAGATATCATATGCTAGAGAAAATAATCATGCTTTTACCTTGATTAGGGACTTGAAATCACCTTAATTTTCCTTGTTCTTTCTCTTCTCCTTCTTCTCTCTCTCTTGGCCGAATGCTTTTGCTTCTCCAAGTCCCAAGAGTGACCGAAAAGAGTGACTAAGGAGGAGAGGAAGTAGTGTATATATAAACTTGTCATTAACCCTTACTATTTGGTCACTTAGATTACCATTCATTTTTACCGCATCACATATGGCTTCATCCTCTCCCTTCTCCCTCAAGATCATGCCCAATGCCCCCTTTAGGTGTCTCTCAAATTGAATAAAAATACCATCTCAAAGGACACATAAGCACCCATGCACGAAAATCTTCATTTTTTATTTATAATTCCAATCTTCCAATTCTATCTCTTAACAAATTATATTATTTCACTTAGGTCCTCCTCCTCCTCAAACGGTGCAATTTTGATTAGAAGAATGGGGAAAAATTTGGCTTCACCAAGCTTATGATTATTATAATGTATAATCTCACAATATCGGTTAAATTTTTCTTGGATCATGTTAAATCCATTGTCCCCAAAAATTCATTTTCTTGTGCCAAGAGGTTCCTTTTGATTAGGAGAGATTCTCCTAATTTTTTAGACTTTATTTTACCTTATAACTCCTTCAATTAAATTTTTTCCGAGATGGACCTTTTACCTATATAATTTGGCTTTAGATAATTCAAAACTAACCTCTGCCCTCTAGAGGGTGAGAACAATTTTAAAATTTATAATAACCTCTCAAATATTTTCTTTTAATTTTTTCAAAATTATTGAGGCTCCTATATATTTTAAATATTTTCATTTGATGAATTTTTTTAATTAGCCAAAATTCTAAGAAAATACAAAAAATTTCTAAAATAAATTATTTTCATACTATTTTCATCTTTCAGGCATCAAATATCATTCTATACCCTTTATTCTATTTTTCATATTTTTTGAAAATTTTCTAGAATTTCAGGTATACTTTTCCATTTCGTTTAATTTTGACCGAATATTTTGAAAATGACAATCTAATTCCTGATCTGGTTTCAATTTAAAAGTTGTACCGTCTATATTTTTACTACCCTATTTGACTCTCGATCTATTTTATATTTCCCATTTTCATGTTAAAATTAATAAGATGTGACAACTTTAACTGGTGGTCGCAATAAACTTATTTATCTATTAAAACATTGTTGCAAATTAAATTTCTCAGTTCTTCAATGTCTTGTTCGATTTTTTGCAGAGATTCTGATGATTTTTTAGTAGAAAAAGGGGAGGGAGCTGGTCAAAGAAAAGAGGCAAGATGGGACAGTCAAAAGAAATTAGTATGCATGAGTTAGATAACGGGGTGACGGATGAAGTGGAGATGAGGTGGCATTCTATCAATCAACCAAACTTAGCTTAGGATAACCGCCAAGCGATGGTGCTGCGTTTTGTAAATTTCTGGGACAACTTGTTCCTTAAAAAAAAAATTCAAATACTTATAGCTGTTTAGCAAAAACTTGAGGACAAAATCGAACCTTAACCCATAAATCTGACCTGATAGAAATAATTTAATAATTTAGCTTTACAATCCTATGGTCATTTATTGTTAAACTGAACACTTATTCCAAAATCTTAATCCCAAAGTTTACTATGATCACCACAATTATGAGGGTGTCAAAAGAGGTTTCATACTGTTTAAGATTGAAAAAACCTTGTTTTATTAATATGTAAGCTAGAGCTAATAAAAGGGCTAAGAATGGGAGTCTTGAATTGACTTTTAGAGATGGTGGTTAAAATATTTATGTATTTTAATTAGTTGATTTTATTCCTTTATTAATCAAATTTAATGATGTGAAAATGTTTTAATGACATTAATTCACCATTAATTAATTTTTTATAAACTGTTCTTTTAATTGTCATTAAAATAATCTTCAATCACTATTATATATAATTATATTTTTTGCCAACAAATATATTTCAGCCATAATAGTTTTAGAAATAAATTATCTTCCCCACGTCTGAAAACAATCGGCTTGTCCTTGCATAGTGACTGGTGGAGTAATGAACGCTTTAGTTGTGCTTTTGGGATCGCCATTTCTTTAGTTTTTAGTCCATGTTTCTGGAAATTGTGGTCGTGCATATTTTAAGTGAACCAATTAAAAAATGCTTCCAAACAAATCATTCGCACCTGTGCAAGGTGAAATTTGATTTATTTTTTCGTGTTGGGGTAACTACATTAAAATTATAACTCGTCGCATAAGTGTGAATGCTGTAACCCGAAATGATTTGCGACAACTTCAATTTTTTTTTTTAATGTGATGAAGAAGATTGTCTTGTTAGAATTGAGGATGGGCAAGAATCATTTAAATGAGTATGGATGTTTGTTATAATTATTTAGCACAGGTTGGGCAATTTATGTCTACTTTCTGATATATTAATATATTATGGATGTTATTTAATTCTTAATATGGATATTGGTTAAGAAATATAATAGTATTTTAAATTTTAAAACTCAAATTGTAGACTTACTATGGAATATTTCAAGACTTAAAAGTATGGAATGTGCTTTTTAAATATAATTTGAGATTTTTTCATATATGTTATGGGGAGAGTTATCACTTGGATAGGAAAGCCTACCTTATCTAGACCTAACTGGTTAGGACTTAAAAAGTCATCAAGTAGGGGTCCTAACCTACCTAGCTTTTTCTAGGCTTGAAACTCCTACATGATATCTAATGTTTATAAATGTTGGTATGTTTAAAGTGAACATGTAGAGCTTTCCTACAAGTTCTACGTCAAGTTAATCAGATCTCTATACTTAGTTGATTATGAATTTTTGAATTTAAGGCATAGTTTCAGTTTGAAAAGAGAGGAAGTTTAGAAAATGAATAAGTTGTATCAATATGAATTGGATTACACTAGAAAGATCTTTTTCTCATATAAAGGACTTTGAGAGCTTTTAAAAAGAATTTTAGTTTACCTTTATACAAGTTTTCCAAATTTAGTTATAATTTTTTTAAAAGTTTGACAAAAATAGGAATTCTAAATAAATAGTAACTCGAGTCAGAATGTAAATTTTAATTCATAAGCTTTAATTAATGATTTGAATAAACCCTAGAACTTCTGGATGCATAATAAAATTGACAAGCTCCTCCCTTTCCTCCTCCTCCTCTTTCATCTCCTCTATATTACATTGTTCTTCTTTTTTTTTTTTTTCTTTCTTTCTTATTATCATCAATGAAGAGGGGCAAACTGAGGGGGTGGTTTAATAAAGTAGAGGATAGTAATATGGGAGAATCTCATTAAAAAAAGGTTTAAAATTACTAAATCTTAAATAAGAAATCATAACAAAAATATGTTATTATTTGTAAGTCTAATGTTATCAAAACCTGTTAAAATGTTGTTCTCCAACCTAATTTGAGATTTGATAATTTCAATTTTCTTTTTGTCAGAGTCTCATATTATTTAATTCCATCGGGCACGCGCACAACTAAACTTATCTTACAAACTTATCTTTGTTGCATGGGCCAAAAGATCTTTAAAATCAAAACTCATCGCTCGGTCTTTCGTGGCATGTCTTGGGCTCCAAATTTGGGCCTAAATGTGGCCCAATTCCATTTTTGCAATTGGGATATTAAATTTACTATTTCATCCCTTCTTTTTCTATGCTTAATTAACAAGTAAATCCAATAAATTAATTCTTAATAACTTAATTTTTCTTCCTTAATTAACTTATTGATTTTTCAAATTTCTCTAAAATCCTTGGACCAAAAATTTACCTTTAACACTTTTTTTTTCCTAGGCATAAGTATTTTTTTATTGAAGGCAATCATGTTCAAAGTATTGTTGGACACTAAATATAAGTATTTCTTCCAATAAGGATTTGAACATTGATTCGCCATATTGTGAAGGACTACTTCTGATTATTTTTCTTATTTTTTTTGGGGAAAAATAAGCCCTTAATTCTCAAATTTTGCTTTAAAATTATTCAAGCCACTTTTGGGAATTAAACCTCTTCAAAAATTTTCAAAATCCTCCAAATAACATATCATAATATTTGCTCAATCACTCTAAGCCACTAAATAATTTTAATACTTATTTTTATTTTCTTAAAATTTTATCCCAAAATAGGCTTTTTTTTTTTTGCCAATAATTCATTTTTTGTGGACTTAAACTTTAAATAACGTCTCTAAGCCTCAAATATGTCTTGAAAATCTCTATTACACTTTTTTTAGACTTCTCTCTAATTAGTGGGCATTTTTCCATATTTATACCTTTGCTACATCTTTAGGAACTAAGCATTTTCTAAAAACATGATT